TTCTACCGAAGATATTTTTATTAAAATTACTTTTGATGTTTTGGATAATCATGTTTCAATATGTCACTCAATAGCAGTATTAAACAATGACGATATAGTGGTATTTATTACAATATCGTCTTCCGATCTCCTTTATAAAAAGGAAATTGGCAATGGCACATATTCAACTACCTGTAAAATCCCCAGGAACCTGCTCAATAGCGGTAATTATTGGCTTTTTACGAATATCTCGGATTCGAATCATACTGTTCTTTTAGAAACAGATAAGGAAATTTCTTTTGAAGTTTTTGATGATGGATTGGAAAGAGCTGGTTATTTTGGCCCGTGGAACGGATTGCTGCGACCATCTCTTGAATGGAAAACAGAAGTAAATGAGAAGACTAATTAATAAAATCTATTCCCTTTTCAGAAGGATAGAAAAGCCTGTGAAAGCGGAAGATTTTTTCATAAAGGGTATTGGTTCTGTAGTGTCTCCCAAAGACTTTGCGATAAAGCCCAATTGCTATTTTTCAGTTGGTGATAATTCAATGTTTTGCGGAACTGTATATTTTGACAGAGAAAGCAGCAAAGTGCTTATTGGTGACAGAACATATGTTGCAGGTAATATTATGTGCGCCCAAAAAATTACAATTGGAGATGATGTTCTGATTTCTTCAGGCGGGGCAATTTTTGATCATGATTCTCACTCGCTTGATTTTGAATTGAGAAAGAATGACGTTGTAAATTATATCAAAGGGTTTAAGGACTGGAGCCATGTGGCAATTAAAGACGTTGAAATTGGCAATAAGGTATGGATTGGCCATAATGTAATTATATTAAAGGGAATAAAAATTGGCGAAGGAGCAGTTGTTGCCGCGGGCTCTGTTGTTACTAAAGATATAGAGCCGTATACACTGGTAGCAGGTAATCCTGGAAAAGTAATTAGAAAACTATTATGATGACCTGGGAAGAAGCAATTATCTGGCTTAGAGAACAGCCTGACAAAACGGATTTCGTAAAAGACTGTTACTACGACGATCCGATTCACGCATCTACATTACGTTTTCTGGAAAGTGATGAATGGAAAGGGATAAAAGAATTATTGGGAGCCTTTAAAGGAAAGCGTGTACTGGAAATCGGAGCAGGCAGAGGATTAGCAAGTTTTGGATTTGCTGCGGAAGGTGCAGTTGTTACTGCGCTGGAGCCTGACAAAAGTGATATTGTAGGCAGCGGCGCAATGCGTCGACTGCAGGATGAAAGCGGAATCAGGTTCGAAATCGTTGAAAGGTTTGGAGAGAATCTGCCCTTTGAGGACAATACTTTCGATATTGTATTTTGCAGATGTGTTTTGCATCACGCATACGATCTAAATAAAATGTGCAGTGAAATAGCAAGAGTTACAAAAGTTGGCGGCAAATTTCTGGCAGATAGGGAGCACGTTATTACTGATAAAACTCAACTTCCTTTATTTCTTGAACAACATCCGCTCCATTTTTTATATGGGGGAGAAAATGCTTTTCAACTTAATGAATACACAACCGCTTTAAAGCTGGGTTTCAGGAAAATCAGAAAGATCGGACCCTACGATCATAAAATAAACATATTGCCCTATTTTGGTAAAGCGCAAATAAAGGAAATGGGTTTTCAGGCGTTAAAAAAAATCTATATGCCATCTTTTCTCGCAAGGCCAATTGCGGAGACTTCATTTTATTACCGACTTTACTGTACCTCACTCTCAATAAGAGATAATAAGCCCGGAAGATTTTATTCCTTTCTTGCTGTTAAATAGAGACTTTCTTATATGAAAAAAATGGTTGTTCTCGGTTCTTCTGGCTTTATAGGCAAGGCTATCTGTAAGCGTTTAAATGAGGAAAATATCAGTGTTATAGGAATGGATGTTGTTCCTTCGGCGGAAAACAAGCTTGATAAATTTTACCAGACCAGTATTAATGAAGCACTGTTTGCCACTGTTTTGCAGGAGTACGAAATTGATATTATTATCAATGCCGCTGGAAAGGCTTCGGTAAAGGATTCTTTTGACCAGCCTTTTGCAGACTTTACGCACAATACCGTCCTCAACCATGTAGTTTTGGATGCTATACACAAGTATTCCCCGCACACCAAATTAATACTCCTGTCCAGCGCTGCTGTGTATGGAAATCCGGTTCGCTTGCCAGTGAAGGAAACAGATCCGCTGAATCCCATTTCACCCTATGGATTTCATAAAATGCAGTCTGAGCTGATTGCCCGTGAGTTTAACACGTGCTTTAACATCAGTACAATTGTGCTCCGTGTATTCTCCTGCTACGGTGCCGGGCAGCGTAAGCTGTTTTTATGGGATCTCTGTAACAAGGCCATGGCAGGGAAAAAGATAGTTTTGAAAGGCTGTGGCAATGAATCCAGGGATTTTGTACATGTAGATGACGTGGCATCCTGCATTTACCATCTGATAAAAAAAGATGTAAAAGGGTTCGAAGTTTTCAATCTTGCTTCCGGCAGGGAGTACTCTATCCGCGAAACGGCCATCCTGCTGGCAGATAAAATGGACAGGGGTAATGAAATTGATTTTGAAGGAGCAAAGAATACAGGAAACCCTGACAATTGGGTGGCCGATACCGGTAAACTGGCGCAGACCGGTTTTGTTGCAGCAACCCCGTTCGAGAAAGGCATCGAATCTTATGCAGCCTGGTTTAAAAATATTGGGTAAATGATGCAAAAGAAAATACTTTTTATAATACAGGGCGGGTCCGAATGGATGGGGGGACTTCACTATATTAAAAATCTTATAAAAACCGTTAAGTTCTCTAATCAGCATGCAGCCATTGATCTGCTGGTTTATACCGAAGACCAGGCAGATCTTTTTGCCGACATTACTGCTGATATTGATACAATACATGTGTACAACAGTATTATTGCTGCTGTAGGTTTGCCAAAACGGGCGTGGTGGTGGCTGCAGCGGAGGCTGGGCAATTGTATACATCCGGCGCTGGACGGTTTCATACGTAAAAACGGTTACCATTTTGCATACCCCTGTTTGCCCAGAAAAGATTTTAAATATTACCGGTTTGCTGAATGGATACCTGATTTTCAATACCGGCATTTCCCAGATGGCTCTAATCCAACTGAGATAGCCGGACGGAAAGAACAAAATACCTTTGTAAGCAGTAATGCTCCCCTTATTTATGTAAGCAGCTATCATGCGAAGCAGGACTGCGAGGAGCTATTCCCTGCCAGCAAAGGGAAAATTGAGGTGATGCAGTTCTGTGTATTTTCAGATCCATTGCAGTTTCCCGATCCTTTGATGGAAGTCCGGGATGCTTATTCTATACCGCCTGACTATTTTATGGTATCAAATTTACTGGCACCCACGAAGAATCTGGAAGTGGTTATTATGGCACTGGGTAAGCTTAAAAGAAAAGGCCTGTCAATACCAGTTGTGGTAAGCGGAGACATACACGATTACCGCAACCCTGGGTTTAAACACACTATTTTCCAGCTAATTAGCCAGGAGAATGTACGGGAGGAAGTGATTATGCTGGGACTTATACCCAGGATCAGGCAGAAGCAATTGCTGGCAAACGCTGTTGCCATTATTCAGCCGTCGCGTTTTGAAGGATGGAACACGCTGGTGGAAGAGGCTAAATGGATGAACAAGGAAATTATTCTGTCAGATATTCCTGTTCATCTTGAGCAGGCAGCCCCATTGGCGGTTTATTTTAAAGACAATGATGCTGATGACCTGGCAGCCAGGCTGCAAGCGGCTTATACAGGTGCCGGGGCTAAACCAGAAAAAAAGAGTGTTGCCGTATCGCAGGCCTACCTGGAAAACATAAACCGTTTTGCAAGTCATTTTATGCATACATCTTTGGGTGAGTAACTGCGCATACCACCCGGCTTTTATTTAATTACACAATATGAATATCAACATTGTAAAACCTTTCCTGCCATCGCTGGAAGAAATAGGAGAAGCATTTGGCAGCAGCCTTTCAAGTGGCCTGGTTACCAATAATTCTCCCTACGTACGGAATTTTGAAGAAAAACTTCAGGGCTTTTTTCAGTCGGCACTGCGGCCCACCCTGTATTGTAATGGCGAGCTGGGTTTATACCATTTAATACAGGCATGGAAACACAAGATGGGCTATGGCCCGCACGAAAGTTTTGAAGTACTGGTGCCTTCTTTTACATTTTCCGGCACCATCAACGCCATTGTGCAGAACAACCTGAAGCCCGTTTTTTGCGATGTAGACGCTTCCCTGATCCTGGATACCGGCAAATTGCTGGTAGATGCACCGGGTGTAAAAATGATTGTTGCCGTGGGGGCCTACGGTAACCTGCCGAACCTGGAATTGCTGGGCAAGTTTGCCGATGACAATAAGCTGGTGCTGATACTGGACAATGCGCCGGCCTTTGGATCTACTTTTAAAAATAAATTTCCCAATCACTACGGTTACAGTGAAATGATCAGCCTGCATGCTACCAAGATCTTTACCTCTATGGAAGGCGGGGTAAACATTGTTAACGATACAGAAATACAGGACTATTTAATCAGGTTGCGCGATTACGGGCAATTCGAAAAAGTGAGGGGTGATATCGATATCCCGGGGCTTAATTCCAAGATGCAGGAAGTATCTGCCATTGTAGGCCTGAAAAACCTGGAAAAAGTAGATTTTATACTGGGCAACCGCGCAAAAAATGCCGCCCGTTATATAACCTACTTTAATACCCTGGAAGAAGCGGGCCTGCTGAAAACAATGGAAGTAAGCAAGGATGTAGTTTGTCCCTATCTTTATTTCCCCATCATTTTACAGCAGGATGCCACAGCTTTTGTTGATTATATGCAGGCCGCAGGAATAGCGGTAAGAAGGTATTATACGTCTAACCATAGCCTTACATATTATAAAGACAAATACCGCCGGCAGGATCTTTCTTTTACCGAGTATGTAAAAGACCGCATCGTCTCTTTACCGCTGCATACCGTGATGTCTGAAGAAGAACTGCAGCATCTTTTTACTACCATCAGCCGTTTCTTCAAAAAATAAGACCGGCAGGCAAACAGGGCTACTTTATTAAAATCAGAAACTTTAAAATACAACAATGAAAAAAGTTATTGTAACAGGCGCCGGCGGATATGTGGGCGTGTTGCTGTGCGAAACATTATTGAATAAAGGCTACGAAGTGATTGCGCTGGACAGGTATTTTTTTGGAATGGATAAGATGGACAGCATTAAAAACCACCCAAAACTTACCATTGCCAAAGAAGATCTGCGGTATGCAGACGGCAGTATTTTTAAAGGGGTATATGGCGTATTTGACCTGGCGGGCCTCAGCAACGACGCAAGTGCCGAAATTGACCCGGCGCTTACGAAGGCCATTAATTTTAAAGGATCCGAAAGGTTTGCAAGGGAAGCCAAACGGCAGGGGGTGCAGCGCTACATTTACAGCAGCAGTGCCAGCGTATATGGCGCCGGTGCCAAACAGGCATTGGCTGAAGGCGATCCGCTTTTTCCACAAACGGAATATGCCCGAAGCAAAGTGGCAATAGAGAAAGTGCTCACGGAACTGAAAGATGAAAACTTTCATCCTACTATGCTGCGCAATGCCACTATTTTTGGTCTTGCCCCCCGCATGCGTTTTGATCTTGCGGTAAACATTATGACCATGCGTGCCTGGAAAGACAGGGTGATCTATGTAATGGGTGGCGGTGAACAATGGCGCCCTTTTGTTCATGTAAAGGATGTGGTAAATGCATTTGTTCTTTGTTTTGAGGCACCGTTGGAAAAAGTAGATGGCGAAATCTTCAACGTGGGCAGTTCTGATCTTAATTACCAGATAAAACAGCTGGCCCAGTTTGTAGTAGACATTATACCCAATGTGGTAATACATACCATTCCTGATGATGCAGACAAACGCACCTATAACCTGAATTTCGAAAAAATCAAACGCGTGTTGGGTTTTGAAGTATCGGTACAGATACATGAGGGCGTAGTAGAAATAAAACAGGCGCTGGAAAAAGGGATTATTAATGCAGACGATCCTACTACCCATACCCTGCAATGGTATAAATCACTGCTGGCCTGGTCTAAACGCGTAAATGAACTGTCCTACAACGGAGAAATTATATAACCCTCCCAACCTAAACCACTACTGCATGAAACTTACCACCCGCATTGCGTATAACCTGTTTCCGCCCTATGTATGGGTAGCTGTAAAAAAGGAAATGTTTATTAATAAATGTAACCGCCAGATAAAAAGCAGTGCCAATAAGGCAAAACTGGCAGTTATAAAAAAATTACCGGTTATTAATATTCATCTGGGCTGTGGTACCCGCATTACCAGCAATTGGGTAAACGTAGATATTTTCAGCGGTCCGGGAATAGATCTGCAGCTAAACTTCAGGGAGCCACTTCCCTTTGAATCCGATTCAGTAGAAAATATTTACACCGAGCATGTACTGGAACATTTATTTAAAGAAGAGACAGTACGGCTGCTGGGGGAGTGTTTCAGGGTGTTGAAGAAAGGCGCAGCCATACGGATTGGAGTACCGGATGCGGCAATATTTTTCAGCAATTACATATCGGGCAACCGTGCTTATTTTAAAGAACTGCGTCACCTGGGTGGTGCAAAAGAACCGCTGGAGACACCCATTGATGTTATTAACCAGATGTTCCGGATGGGCGGCGATCATTTGTTTGCATGGGATTTTGAAACCATGGAGCAGGCGCTTTTGCATGCAGGCTTTACAAACATTACCCGTTATGAATCCGGTAAAGCGTCTTCACCGTTGCTATGCCTGGACGATCCTGCGCATGCTTTTGAAACCCTGTACGTCGAAGCCGTTAAAGCATAAATGAATCCTTCGAAAATAATTTTAGGGGCAGGGCGGCATGCCGTTGAAACGTTTTACCTGATGGAAGACATTGGCAGCGCAGGTGCTGTAATAGGTTTTGCAACCGACCATGCAGCAGAAGGCCAGCGGTTGCTGGGGAAGCAGGTGATAGGCATTCCAGATCTGCTTGCAAGCTACAGCACAGCTACCATAAAGCCCGCTGTACTGGTGGCCATAGGAAGCCTGGAAGTTAACAAAAGAATAGTGCAGCAGTTCAGGCAGGCAGGTTTTCCTTTTTTCAGTGCTGTAAACAAAGATGTCAACTGCAGCCGCCAGCAATACCTGGGCGAAGGCATTACCATTGCAGGTGGTACTATCCTTACGTGCAATATATCTATCGGAGATTTTGCCATTGTCAATATTGGATGTACCATCAGTCACGACTGCAGCATCGGCAAACACGTTAATATTTCGCCCGGTTGCCACCTGGCAGGTAATGTACTTATCGAAGAAGATGTATTTGTGGGAACAGGTGCTATTTTCCTGCCAAAGGTAAAAGTGGGCAAGGGCAGTATTGTGGCGGCAGGCGCCTGTGTTACAAAAGATGTTTCGCCTTTTACCATGGTAGCCGGCGTGCCGGCTACGGTGAAGAAAATATTGCCCGGAGCTTAATCTGACTGCCCTCCTTTGCAGGGTATGACCCATGCCAATGGCTACCGGCAATAATTATTGATATACTATGAATTCAATTGTGGCAGCGAGTAATCATCCTTTACATGAAGGTAAGCAGCCTGATAAAAAAACAGCAATTGTTCACTTTCCAGGCTTAAACGGAATACGTGCCATTGCTGCGCTTATTGTACTGGTTTTTCACATTGATCAATATTTTGAAATACTTGGCTTGCCCCGTCTCGGCTATCACGATACCGGAATGGCGCAGTATGGAGTAGTGCTTTTTTTGTTTTGAGCGGCTACCTGATCACTTACCTGCTGCTTGAAGAAAAAAAGCAATACACTGATATCAATTACAGGTCTTTTTACCTGCGCCGTATCCTACGAATTTGGCCCCTTTACTATATCATTATTTTTTGTGTAGCGGCAATAGTTATTATATATCCGCAAGCATATGCAGGGGCTAATTATGCGGCTTCATTCGGCTTCTATTCATTTTTCCTGGCCAATGTGGGATATACATTGGGTTTTGGAATGCTGGGTATGTACCAGTTGTGGTCGGTGGGGGTAGAGGAACAGTTTTATTTTTTCTGGCCGTTTTTGATCAACCGGTCCAGCAGCATTTTAAGGTCGCTGGTTGTTTTCATAGCTGTTTTTCTGCTGGTAAAGCTGGGGGTAAAATATATGCACCTGGATACACTCTATAATTTTTTATCCATTACCTGTTTTGATGTAATGGCAATTGGAGGAATAGGTGCCTGGATGGTGCACAGGCATCATCCACTGCTGAATTATCTGCGCAACAGGGGGATACAGGCTTTTGCCTGGCTTTTCCTGCTGTTCTCCATATTTGTAAAACCGGTTCATCTATTTAGTTTTATTGATGCAGAAATGCATGCGGTAGTGTACCTGCTGTTGATTATTAATGTAAGCAGCAATACCCGGCAACTCATTAATCTGGAGCAGCCGGTATTAAATTTTTTAGGCCGGATTTCTTATGGGATATATATGTATCATATGATCATAATAGCATTGTTGTCTTTTATTTTTGATAAGCCACTGCTCCATCAGCCTGCAGGAATAATGGACTACGCTGTCATGTATACAATGGTGATTACATTTACCATTTTGCTGGCCAGCTTGTCTTATTTCGGTATCGAGAAAAGAATCCTTGCAGGAAAAATAAAATTCCAACGCGTCAAAAGTGTCAATTAGGCTTTTTTACAATGTATAGATTATGCATAGTCAAGATGCTCCTGTTAAAGTAAGTATTCTCATTACCTGCTATAACCTGCAATATTTTATAGAAGAAGCCATCGTTTCTTTACTGCAACAGCAGTGTACATTCAACTACGAAATTATTGTAGTAGATGATGCCT